AGCCATTCTGACAGGTGTGAAGTGATACCTCATTGTGGTTTTAATTTGCATCTCTCTGATGATTAGCGACGTTGAGCATTTTCATGTGCTATTTAAGCGATACTTCTAAAATTAACATTGCTTCCCTGGAATTCACAATAAAACAGTACTGTCACACTTTACATTCTTAATCACTAAAATATGTGGTAAAAATTGTAATTGATTTTTTGCAGTTGGTTAAAAGGCAAAATAATAAATAATACTTGTGCTTGAATCTCATTTTGTAGTTCTTTTAATAATATAGCTTGGATATAATATAATATTTAATACATGACCTAATGCATAATTAATAATCTAATCACTTTAGATCAGAATTATAAAGCCCAGTAGCTATAAAATATAGCAATAATAATAATAACAACAGCAAAATGTTTTGAGTACTTTTTGTATGCCTGGCTTGGTTTAAGTGCTTTCCATATAGTAAATCGTGAAGAAACTGAGGCCAGAGAGGTTGAGTATCTTGCTTATGGATTCACAGCTAATAAGTGCTAAAACCAAAATGTGAACCCAGGCTCTCTGGCCTCAAAGCCTGCATCTTAACCTCCATATTATATTACCTTCTTTGCAATATGACTATTATTACTGTTATTAAACCCTTCAAAGAGGATCCATTATAAAAATAGTTTTAAAGTAACTTTGTTACACATCTATTGTAATGGACCCCATAGGTGAAAAGACCATTGGTCCTGAAAAATATACTCCAATACAAACATCAGTTGTCATTACAACTGCTTTCCAACCAAGAGGAACTCCATCCTGTGGCGCCCAACACATTACAGATTCTCCTATTAGTCACTTCCACTCGAGGAGGCGGGAAAGTGTGACTTGCCTCGGATCATCGTGAGAAAATATTTCTTCTGTTTCTAGTCATTACATGATCAGCTAACATGCGGATATTAATTTCTCAATTCCTAATTAAGTTCTTAATTAGTTCTTAATTTCCCTGTGGAATTTTGGGCAATTCTGCCTTTATTTTTTGGTATGGGATTAGTAGCAACCGTGTTTGGCAGGAACATGCAAAACTTGATACTTTAAAAACTGACTTTATTGAGATGTAACTTACACACCATAAAAATCAAGTTTAATATGTACAATTCAATGGTGTTAATACAGTCACAGAACTGTAAAAATTTACATCTGATTTTAAAAAATTAATTAAATAAAAACTCTTGAGATGCTTGAATGGGAAGTACTCCAAGGCCAATGAACATTATTAATATTTGCTGTGTTCTTTCTCCTTCATCAGAAATGTGTGCTGTACTGGCCCGAAAAGAGAGGAATATATGGGAAAGTCGAGGTTCTGGTTATCAATGTAAACGAATGTGATAGCTATACTGTTCGAAACCTTGTCTTAAAGGTAAGATTACGTGCCAATAGCTATCTACAAAGTAGATGATATTAGAGGATAACATTTCTACTTTGAAATTGTTATCCTAATAGGTACTACAGATTTAATTTAAACCAATTAAACAATGTCAACATAAAAGAAATTATAATCATTCCCTCTTGTATTTTTCTTTGTTGTCAGCTACTATTAATATATGGAATAATTAAATTAAATAAGTAGGTATTAAGAAAATTCACTAAATAGGATGTTATGCTCTTCTAATTTGCATAAATGAAAACTCTCTTAATTTAGCCTTTTGAATGCCTTTAACTAAAGGCTTGCTCTGAAGACTTTACCATGATGTTTTTTAATGTCACTTTGGTCTATGCAGCTTTCAGTAAGACCTGGAGACTGTGAAAGAGAAAATCTGTTGCTTGTGGGTGGCTGTGGGAGGCAAGACAAGCCTGAAATGCTGATGAGATTTTCAAAACTTGGAGTTACAGTAATTTATAGGGACTTTCCCCAGACCAGATTACGTCATAGGAAAATTATCTAATTTAACTTACGGGCAGCAGATGCTGAGGAATGTTGCCATGGTATTGTTTCTGCTTCTAGAGAACAATCATCTCAAAGATTTTAGTCCTACCTAGAGCCTCACTGCTAGGGCATTCTCATCACAGAGAGAGTGGGGGCAGAGCTGCACTGGTGGCTTTTAATGAAAAGCGGGGGTAGGAAGGCACTTACCAAAACCTGTTTTTAAACACATATCCTAAGTGCCTAGTTCATGCCAGGAATCCACATGGACCTTCACCCAAAGCATTTATAATCTAGTGACCCCTTTAGCCTCTTTACTGCTTGAATTTCTCACTGCTCTTAAAAACCGGAATTTGGGGTTAGTGTAGAAGCATTAGAGTGACTGAATGTAAAATTATGCATTTTTATATTGTTCGTTATGTTTATAGTAACCTGTCAGGAATGTTCAAAGAGCAGGAAACACACTATCTTCTAATTCTTTCTTGGCTACATTTTCATCTACCATTTGGTCTATTTTAGTATATTACAAATATTTAGCATATGTTACAGAGACACTTTCTATACTAAATATATTCTCATTAATTTTTTTCTGCTTTATATTTTTTTAATTTTTAAATCAAATTTATTGGAGTGACATGGGTTAATAAAATTATATAGATTCCACATGTACATCATCTGTATATTGCATTCTGTGACATTTAATAGAAGCAAGACTGTCAGTCTTTAATATCAGGATATTTACAGTAATATTTACAGGATATTTACAGTAATATTTACAGGATATTTTCTCAAGGTGAAGGGTTGTTCTTCAAAAATCCCCTAGATATTTGTCCCACCTAGAAATAAGTTGCCAGCAAGATGAGAATGATAGAAAGCATGTAGTATTGTGGTTTGAATGACTTTTGTTACACAAGTAAATGAGGCACTTGGTGGCTATTGCTATTTTCAGCAAGGAAGTCACACCCAACATGTGAAGCATTACTGGTACACTTCGTGGCCCGATCACAAGACTCCAGACAGTGCCCAACCCCTTCTGCAGCTCATGCTGGATGTAGAAGAAGACAGACTCGCTTCTGCAGGCCGAGGGCCTGTGGTTGTCCACTGCAGGTAAGGCATGAGCTATCTTTTCAGCCTAAGCAAACTGTCCATCCTTTGTAAAGTCGTAGAGCAGGTAGAAGTTGGGTTTTGCTTCTTGGTTGTGACTTTGTCAGTAAATTAAATAATTACTGAAATTGATTAACTTCCTAATATTTGAGTCTTGGTCAAGATGGTATTTACAGTGACAGTATTAGGACATTTCACCAAATGATTACACAATGGAGGAAATTCCACTTCTGAGTAAATGGCTCAGGGGACAGAAGCGAATTCAGTCCTCTGCCTTGAAACTTATTTTGATTCATTTAGTCTCATCAATCTAATATACACTAGGAATGACAAATAGGACTTTTAAATTATTGGTGGCTATTCTTGTTGTGTCAAGATGGCACCTGAACTCTACTTGAATTATATCTCGGTAACATTTATTATTATTCCACATTTGGTGAAAACCAGTCAACTGTTTTAAAAGTTATTTCATGAAAAACAGATGGAAATAAGTTATGAAATGGTATTGGGTAAGTGGTAGTTCCCTGAAAGGAAAACAAACTGCTGTTACCAGAACATGGGTTTCTGGAGGTTAAGCTGACAGAAGCAGCAGATGTCTTTGGTGGCCGTCTTCCCGCGTCTAGCTGAAAGCTCCCCTCTCACGGCTGATACCACATCCCCCTGGTTTCCTTTTAGCGTGCCCAAACGAAAGCAAATATTTTAAAAGTTATTTCAATAATTAGCCATTTATTCTTCATACTTTATCAAAATATTGTAGTTTGTGTTGCTTCATTCAATATCATAAGTCTTGTAAGATAGCTTTTGATGACATCTTTAATAAACAAAATACAGTATTTCAGATGGTAATGTTAGCATCTTCTTTTTTTAACACTTTGTGGTTTAATTAAGAGTAAAATTTACTATATGTCTGCTTATTCAAAGGAATCATTATCCAGTTTTTAGCATTGAACCTTGTTCTAAACTTAGCTTGGGGCTGAGAAAAACAACCTATTTGTCCATCCTTTAGGCTGGAACCGCCCCCCACCCAAAAGCATAAAACACTCAGGATATCTAAAATGAACTGGCCACTTCCCCTATAAAACCAGCTCCCCTTCTGATTAGTATTTCTAAAGATGAGACCATCTTTTTTCCAGGCACTCAACCTCTAACATTGACAGTTATCTTTGGCTCTTCTCTTAATTCCAGCCTCAGTATCTAATCAGTCACCAGATTGGCTTTCCCTTCAAAGCTCCCATAATCTTCATTTCCTGTCCAGCCACCCAAGTTCAGGCCCTTCTGACCTCACTGGTATATTTTAGAAGTAGTCAGATAATTACACACACACCCCACTTCCCCTTGCCCACCTTCACTATGGCCTGCCCAATGCACTTCTCTTGGATGGTGCTTCTAAAGCCCTCTCTCGTCACATCGAGTCCCTGCTCAGAACTTCTCAATGGCGTCCTATTGCCTAGAGCAAAAGTTCGTAACCTTGGGTCTTTGGATGAGCTAGGGGAGTTAGGGAACTCCTTGAAATTACTTAAACAAATCTGAGTACCTAAAGTAACGTGAATTTTTCCGGGATGTGAAACTTCCTAATTTTCATCAAATTCTAAAAAAAATAATAAGTAAATAAAATAAAAGTTTTAGAGAAAAAAGTCCAAACCTCTTAGCTTTCCATGTGAGACCCTTTATAGGCCTGTGTACTTTCCCAGCCTTATTTCCCACTGTTTCTCTAAAATAATTTTCTTTTCAAGCCAAGTTTGTCTACTCATTGTCACACATCATATATCCTGTTCTGCAGCAATTCTTTCCTTAAACCCTTCTCATGCATGGAATATTTTCTCATTCATGATAACCAAAATGCCTGCCATTCATATGGTACAGTTCAAATCCTATCTCTTTAATGAAACAAACTCTCTATAGATAGTTCAACTAAAAGGGACCATTCTATTTTGGAATTCCTTTGCACCCACTTTCAACAGAAACATGTTCCAAATAGGAGAAATAAATGCTATTTGAGTGCCAAAAGGGGAGCTATTCATTCAAGCCAGGAAGATTGAAGAAAACTTCTAAACATTAGAATTATGTTGAGCAGGATCTTTAAAAATGACCAGTGTTTGTGGTTTTAAAAAGTGGTAGGGAGGGCACTTTGGGCTGAAAAAATATCATTAACACAGAAAGGAAAATTGGAAAGTAAAAGGCATTTTTTGTAATGATTCATGTAAATGAAAAAAATGGCACAAAGGGTACAAAAGAGCACCATAAAAGGACATAAAGCTTGAAACTTAGTCACATTTTTATCATTCAAGGTCATGAACACCATGGTAGGGAGCTTAGATACTTAGATAGTGTGCTGTAACTATTGGGAGCCATCTACAGTTTTGAATAGAGAGTGATATGATCAGGTCCCTAGCAGTTGTGTGAGGAAAAGACTGGAGACTTGGAGGCCATAATGAGATCATTGCTAATCATGAAGTAAGGAGATGTCAAAAACATGAGTACAGTCTACTGAAAGGAAAGCATGGATCCCAAAAGCTCAGCAAAGGTGGAAAATACAAGAATTGGTAACAGATTGGATGTGGGAGGTGAGAGTGGGAGATGTTGAAGATGGCTCCAAGATTTCTCGGCTGGGAAACTTGTGGCTGACTGGTAATGCCATTGAGGGAAGAGACAGTTAACTCTGTTTTAGGTACATTGAAATGAAGAAAGTGCAAAATAGTAACAACAAGAGTCCCAACTAGGAGATGGAATGCCAATCTAGAGTTCAGGAGAAATTTAGGGAATATAAATGTAGATTTAAGAGAAATTCACATAAAAACTATTAGTAGTTGAAATTGCTGAGAGAGAGAGAAAGGGATTGTTAGGTTGATGACATACTATCTAAGGCAGCTGAAAGTGTAAACCCTCCTGGATAGATAGTGTTTCTATATGTACCTCTAGACACCTCCTCTCTCCTAAACGGAATTGAATTTTCAGTTATTCACGAGAAACTTCAACATCAGTGTATCCAAGACTAAACTCTCCTTCAGATCAGCTCTCATTCCAGAATTCCACCTTTGTCTCATTGGGACTATCATTCTTTGACTTTTTGCTTTTCTTTTTTTTTTTTTAAATATATCTTTATTGATTTCAGAGAGAGGAAAGGAGAGGGAGAGAGAGAGATAGAAACATCAATGATGAGAGAGTCATTGATCGGCTGCAGCCCACAACCCGGGCATGTGCCCTGACTGGGAATCGAACCCTGATCGCCTGGATCCTAGGTCGATGCTTAACCGCTGAGCCACGCCCGGCCAGGCGACTTTTTGCTTTTCTGACCATTCAACTCCAGTTCTCCAGACTCACATTTGTGATGTGTGTGTGTCTTTCCCCTTCTTTCTAGTGCCCATAACTTACCTAAATCCAGGCCCTAATTATTCTTTGGAGAACAGTTGCAATGCCTTTTTCACTCTCCTCCCCACCCAACACCCCCCTGTCCTCATCTTACTGCCTGGAAGTAAAGGAGAGACTATGTTTCAGCACTTAGCACACGGCCCAGGTTGAGAGCTGTGGTGGTTGTTGCTATTGTCATTTATCCTAGCTGTTGTTTCACATTTAGAAGTACCTTTTAAAAATACATTTTATCTTCCACCTTTTGATTCTTTGTCCTTTCTTTTCAGCGCAGGGATAGGTAGAACGGGGTGTTTTATTGCTACGTCCATTGGCTGTCGACAGTTGAAAGAAGAAGGAGTTGTCAACCCACTGAGCATTGTCTGCCAGCTTCGTGTAGACAGGTGAGTGTCTGCAGGACTGGGTCAGAGAGACTTCAGAACAGCATTATCTGTCACAAGCTGCTCTGATCAGCCCCGCTTTGCAAACATCACAGGCTCCAAAGTCCTAAATCTCTATAGTGATTTGTGTAAAGTGCTTAAGAATAGACATTACTTTAAAAAGCCATCAAAGGAAGTGTTATTTGCAACACCGACCATCAAGAGCCCAAAACCAGTCCAGCCAGAGTAGCTCAGTTGGTTGAGCATTTGGTTCCCGGTCAGGGCACATACCAGGGTTGCATGTTCGATCCCTGGTTGGGGCATGTACAGAAGGCAACCAATCGATATTTCTCTCTCTCGCTCTCTCTTTCTCTCTCTTTCTCTCTCTCTATCCATCCCTTCCACTGTCTAAGCATGTCCTTGGGTGAGGATTTAAAAAATAAAGAGTCCAAAACCAAAAGCTATGCTTAATCCTTCCTTGCCTCTGATACAAGTTGTTTATGGTGGCAACTGTTCCTTCTTAGTCTTACACCCAGATGCCTTCCTGCATACTCAGTATTTTCATTTGACTTAACTGAATCATTCACTTTAGGATCTTGATCCTTTAAAATGAGGTATATGTCATACTACCAAGAGCCCCCCTTTTTTTAGTCTAGTCTTTTTAGTTGTGAAAAATGCACCTAACAAAATGTACCATCTGAACCATTTTTTATATATTGGGGCAACATCTTAATAGGTATAAGGTGAAACAGCCATTTTTAGACACAAATCATTTGATCACCTTTGTGATGATCTTTGCTTATGTGTTGAAAACAGAACAAACAATAAATTTTTCTTCCTTTCTCCACGACTAAATCTACCTGGGTAAGTGAACAGTTGAGTCAGGGATGGAGAAAGTGAACAGGTGCTCCTTGAGAACAGACACAGACAGGAAGATGTACCAGCATACCAGCAGCCGACCTCCCTGCTCTGTAATTCAATGTGCTATAGAGGAAGAGGAGTTGTTATGAAAGGCTGAAATACTGGGTTCTCTTCTTTCATTCATATAGCAAATATTGACTACTCACCTTCCATGCCCAAGGCATTGTTCCAGATGCTGCAAGTACAGCATTGGGCAAGGTAAGTGAGGCTCCACTGTCCTAGAGTTTACATGCTAACAGAGAGAGAGAGGAGATCATAAACAAGCTAAGAAATAAACAGGATAATTTCAGACAGAGATAAAAGCTGAGAGGTAATTAAAAAAAGAGAAAGAGATTTTGCTTTATGACCTGGAGTTTCCTAAAAGTAAAACTAGAGTCACCTTTTAAGATTCATTTGATATTTATTGAACACCTACTATGTGCTAGGTACTGGGATTTCAATAAGAGACAGAAAGATTTTTCTTAAAATTCAATGAGATAATATGTTTATAAAGCACTCAGAACAGTCTGGCACATGGTACGCCTTAAGTAAATGTTCACTGTGTTATTACTAGCTTCATTATTATTATCTTCATTATTATTAAAATTATCAATAAAGATTTTCCTATCTCTAAAAATAAAACATTCAAATCCTCTTTCTGAATGAGGTTTTCCCTCCCCGTGTCTATCTGTCCTTGTCTCCTTTTAAATAGTAATTCTAAGTCTTTGTAAGTATATCTTCCCTCAATTTTTCTCTTAACTTTGGCTTATTAGAGGTTGTTCATGATGGTGGTTAAGATTCTAGGCTCTGGAGACAGATTGCCTGGGTTTGCATGCACCATTTTCTGGTTGCTTGGCTTTGGTCAAGTTACAGGACTTCTTCATGCCCAGGTTTTCTCATGTGGAAACTAGAAGTAATAATAACATCTACTTCCTATTTTTGTTGTAAGAATTAAGAGAGAATCTGCAAAGTGCCTTTTACAGAATAAGTATGCATCCAAGTTTAGCCACAGCTACTATCAGTACCTATAGCAAGAAACTTGCGCACTCATCTGTAAGCTGGAACCAATAATCTATACCCTGCAAGGTCACAGTGACATTAAGATGAGATTACACCTGTGAGGCACTTGTTAGAACATTTAGCCTGCTTCTTTCCCTCTCTTTAACCTCCCTACTTCCATCTTTCCATACCTCACATATAAGTGCTTCCAAAAATGTTTTCTTTTTTTCATTTTTTTTTTATTCGCATTGGTTCCCTCCACCCCACATCCATCCCACCCCCAGGCTTTCCCCATACCAATGTCTGTGTCCATGGGTTATTCTTATAAACATATAAGGTCTTTGATTAATCTCTCCCCACCCACACTCTCCTCCCCGCCTTCCCTCTGAGATCCCTCAGTCTGTTCCATGCTTCTATGTCTCTGGATCTACTTTGTTCATCAGTTTATTTTTTTTATTATATTCCACATATAAGNTATGTCTCTGGATCCACTTTGTTCATCAGTTTATTTTTTTTATTATATTCCACATATAAGTGAGATCATGTGGTACTTGTCTTTCTCTGACTGGCTTATTTCACTTAGCGTAATACTTTCTAGTTCCCTCTATGCTGTGCCAAAGGCTAAAAGATCCTTCCTCTTTACAGCTACATAGTATTCCATGGTGTAAATGTGCCACAGCTTTTTTATCCACTCATCTACTGATGGGCACTTGGGCTGTTTCCAGATCTTAGCTATTGTAAATTGAGCTGCTAAGAACATAGGGGTTGCGATTGGTGTTTGGGGTTCCTTAGGATATATTCCTAGAAGTGGGATCACTGGGTCAAATGACAGGTCAATTTTTAATCTTTTGAGGAAACTCCATACTGCTTTCCATAGTGGCTAAACCAGTCTGCATTTTTTTATTTATTGATGAGAGAGAGAGAGAGAGAGAGAGAGAGACTGATTTGTTGTTTCACTTATTTAAGCATTCATTGGTTGATTCTTGTATTGCCCTGACTGGGGATAGAATCTGCAACCTTATCAGGACTACACTCTAACCATCTGAGCTACCTGGTCAGGGCTAATATTTTCTTTTTGTACATGAGAAGATCAACTCCAATTGTCTCTCCCTCTCCTCTTAAAATTGCTGTCTTAGTCTCCCAAACCCCCTTGCCTTCCAATTTGTACTGTCCACCCCACCTAGAACAGAATCTGGTGGCTTCACATAGGACTCTGGGGCCTACCTTCACCCAGAAGAGGGCTCCCCTGTCAGCTGGAGCTGGTCCCACAGTGACTTTCATCTCTCCTGCTTTGTGCTTCTGTAAACAAGGCTCTTGCTTGGGACTGCAATTCCCCCAGGGACTCTATCTCCTATCCCTGTGCCCCGCTTTCCTCCTGGCTAATTCTGGAATTTCATCAACACTAGATACCTGCATGGATCTAAACTGACTCCAAACCAAGTTGGCCTTTAGCACCTGCTCTGACCCTATTTGGAACAAAATCCTAAAGAGCACCAGGCAGTTTGCTCATTTTTTTCAGCCCTTGTTACTCTTAATCTCACCTATTCACCCTCCCATCAACCACCTCTCCCATCTGCTTTTGCAGCCTGACCTCCACTTTGGTTTCCACTTCCCAGTCACATTACCTTGTCAAGTCCACCAAACTATCCCCTAACTTTGACTGGAATCACAAATACATTTTTTTTTAAAGTCATATCACAATGCCTCCTCTATCTGCTCCTTCCTTCCTAAAGCAAATGGTCAGAAAATTTAGCTTTGGCTTTCCATCACCGCCAAGGTCTTCCCACGAGGCTTGTCCTTTCTCTCCTGATAGGATCTTCAAAACATAGCCAACTCCTCTGCTGATCTGAAGCCCAGGGGCTCCCACAACCCCTGGGATTTGAATCACTGCCAGTATGTGTCTCGAAATCATTCTGATTTATTAATCAACATCCCTTCTACATAAATTCTTTTTGAGCAGCTGTTGTTTATAGAACAGATCCTTTCCTTCAAACTTTCCTTGAAAGCGTTCCCCTTTTCCTTCCTTCCTTCACAGGGTCAGCATCAAATTTCCTTTTCTTGTCTCTTCCTTCTGCTGTGTACTCCCCTAGTTATTGCGAAAAGGGACACAGAAAATCTTCCTCCTTTCCTTCACCCCATCCAACTTCTTGCTCCCTCATCTTTGCCTCTTGCGTTCAGCTTTTTCCTGTCATACCTCATTTTTTAAAATTTTGGTTCTTAGCTGACTGCTACCACTGACCATGTCCTTAACTCACGGCCGGAAGGCAAAGAAGGTCACCATCCTGCTCTTGCAGCTTTTTGTTCTTCAAATCTGGTCCCCGCCCTAGACTCCCCCATCCTCTGTCCTTGCCTTCAGTTCTCAATCTGTCTGCAGACATTCATAAAGCACTATGCACACTCAGAAGCGTATTTAATCTTGGCCTTTTCACATGATCTTCAAAGCACATGTCTCCTTTACATCCCAAAGTGAACCCTGAGTGGGAAAAGAAGCATTCTTTGCCTTTTTTTAAATGAGGAAACAAAGAATTCAAGATATCAAGTAATTTGCCCAAGGTCATGGTGCTTAGAAAATGGCAAAACAGACCCCTTTGGAATTGGCAAGACTTCTGATTTTGAACTCAAAGGTATTACTGTTGTAGATAAAGTGAACAGGCATTTAGAATATGTTTATTGTAAAATTGCTTGACAAAAAACGTATCTTTTTAGTAATACTTTGTCAGTTTCAAAAAAAAAATGCAACAACACCATAATTTTTAAAACAGTGTTGAGTATGAATGAGAGCTGTTTCACAAATAGAGTGATATTAACAGCAGTTGCCTTAAGAGTATAATTTTTTTATTGAACATCTTTCCATATGGACATTCGTATGTCATCTTTCCCTGCTCCCGGCATTTATTTATTTATTTATTTATTTATTTATTTATTTATTTATTTATTCATTTATTTAAATTACAGTTGACATTCAATAGTGTCTTAGTTTCAGCTGTACAGCATTGTGGTTAGACATTTATATAACTTTTGAAGTAATCCCCCAATAAGTCTAACACCCACCTGACACCATGCATAGTTATTACAATATTATTGAGCATATTCTCTATGTTGTAATTGACATTCCCATGACTATT